GGAGAGAGAGAGAGAGAGAGAGAGAGAGAGAGAGAGAGACTGTATATGTGATATATCTGTGTGTGAGGTGTATGTGTCTTTGTGTGTGTGAGAGAGAGATGTGTTTGTGTCTATGTGTGCATGAGGTTTATGTGTTTGTGTCTCTCTCTTTGTGTGAGGTGTATGTATTTCTCTCTCTCTCTCTCTCTCTCTGTGTGTTTGTGTTTGTGTGTGTGTGTGTGTGTGTGTGTGTGTGTGTGTGAGAGAGAGAGAGAGAGAGAGAGAGAGAGAGAGAGAGAGGTGTCAGAGTGAAGAGGACAGGACATTGTTCCCTGTGCTTTTATTAGTCTTTCAGGGTCAGTGACAGGCTGGGTATAGACACATGTTTCTGCCTTGGGGCTTCCCAGCTAGTACCTTCGCTTTCTTCTGGGTGACAATCTCTTGAGCAGGCTGAGGAAAACCTCCTCTGTCCCTTGCCTCTGTGTTTCAGAAGGGGAATACTGCTCTGCATATCGCTGCCCTTGCTGGTCAGGATGAGGTGGTCCGGGAACTGGTCAACTATGGAGCCAATGTCAATGCCCAGTCTCAGGTAATGGCTCCCTGGCTCCTTGGACAGGGAGTCTTTCCTCACTTACACTGTTGTTTTATGCTACGTAGAAGACACATTAGCTGCTGTGTACTACACACACACACAAACACACACACACACACACACACACACACACACTGTAGCTAGGAGTAGATTCATTACTTCCATGTCTTCAAGGAGTGATACAGGAATTCTGTGTTAATTTTCCAAGGCTAGCCTACACGTCTTTAGCATGGAAAGTTGGTCATTGTGGACTCCATCTTGGTTCAGTAGACCAGTGAAATCACATATTATGCATGGATCTTGTAAGGCTTGGTTGGTTGGTGTAAAAAGAAAATAAAAGCAGAGAGGGTTGGAGAGGTGGATCAGCAGTTAAGGTCTTGTACTGCTCTTGCAGATTATCCAAGTTTAGTTCCCAGCACAACACATTAGGTGACTCACAACCACCTGTAACTCTAGCTTCAGGGATCTGACACCCTGGCCTTTCCATTCATGTGCACACACCCACAATCTCGGATATACACATATGCATATGCATACACATACACATAATTAAAAGCAAAATAACTTCTTAAGTAGAGGAGGATGTTTGATCTAGGGACTCACTCAAAAGATGCAGGGCAAAACATTCAATGGAGTCATCGCTCCCTCTTGGCCTTTGGGGATAATTTCCAGAGGTAGTGGTTTGTCTCCAGGGCAAAGTGAGGATATGAAGAGAGAGCCCTCCCTCAAGTGGGAGGGTTTACAGCTGTCTTTATGTCTCTCCCACTGTTTCTTCCTTGGGTTTGCAGAAAGGCTTTACTCCCCTGTACATGGCGGCCCAGGAGAATCACTTGGAGGTGGTGAAGTTTTTACTGGAGAATGGAGCCAATCAGAACGTAGCCACAGAAGTAAGTTCCTTTGGGAAATGTGTCCTGTGCTGTAAGTGTCTCGGGTACATGAAATGATAATGGCATACAGTCAGACTGCAAACAGGTGATGCCCATCCAGACCTCCTTGGCACACAGACAACAAACACGTAGTACTCACAGTCAGATACCCTCATAGCACACATTCAAACTGCAAACAGGACAGACCCAGTCAGACTCTCATAGCATACAGGCAGACCTTACCTCAAGCACAAGGTAGAGGAAAACTAAGCGCAAAAGGAAGAAGAATGCAGATACTGCGGGAGAACAGGGCAAGAAAGTGGGGGCAAAGAGAAGGCTTCGGGAAGGAGGCGGCACTTGAGCCAAGCTTGGAGGATGCAAAGGGCTTTGAAATCCCATCTTTGCTCTCGCAACCAGGATGGCTTCACTCCGCTGGCTGTGGCTCTACAGCAGGGTCACGAGAACGTGGTGGCTCACCTCATCAACTATGGAACGAAGGGGAAAGTGCGCCTCCCCGCCCTACACATTGCAGCCCGCAATGATGACACACGAACAGCTGCAGTGCTCCTGCAGAACGACCCCAACCCAGACGTGCTCTCCAAGGTGAGGGAAGCCAGTATGGACATGTGCACCAAGGAGGGCAAGCCGGGCCACTGGAGGCACCTGTAGTTCCCAGTGTTTTTCCAAGACCAGAGCTGATGGGAATGAACTAGCTGTACCTTTTAGCACTCAGTAGCGATATAGAAGCACTGGAGATCCCTCAGATCCTGAGGGGGTACTGAGTTTGTTCTGGCTACTTGGGGCATCCAGAACAGCACCCAGGAAGGCAGGGTAGGCCTCCATCCAGAATGAAGCTGCACCTCAGAGGGAACTCTGGGCTATTATCCTCTTCTTACCCTGTGCCCTTGCTGACTGAGGTCATCATGTTCAGTTGCAGAAGAGCAGGAAAGCATAAAGTGGGATCCCTGGAGATGTGACAATTAAAGAGTTACTAACCACTGCTCATCCAGTCAGGCTGCTGGCTGCCCCTCAATCAGCTAGTTTGCTTGACTGGTTCACACCGTGCCCCCCTCCACATATTTATTCTACCACATGCCTGTCCCTGGAGTTTGTTTGGATGTGTTCTAAGGATATGGAGCAGGGTAACTGACTGGTGAACCCTCTGGCCAGATAGCTGAGTCATGCACCCTGTTAGGGGGCTGGCAGTCATGAACTCCACAGCCCTTTGCTAATGACTAAAATTTCTTCATGAGAGGTGATCTCAGTTTATAGTTTGCCTTGGCCATAAGGCAAAGATGAGAAGTCACTCTGAGGTGGCTTGCTTCAGCTTTGGCTATAGCTTGCCATGGGGGCATCTCTCCACCCCTTCCATAGATTTTGGCACTGGCCAGAGCCTGCTTTACGGTCTGGCTTTGTGGCCCTGTTAACATGTGTAGAAACCCTGGGCTGGTTCGGGATAGAGGTGCTGGTATGTGATGAGTGATTCTCCCCCTCTGTTGTGCCAGACGGGATTCACACCCCTCCACATCGCAGCTCATTATGAGAATCTCAACGTGGCCCAGCTGCTCCTCAACAGGGGGGCCAGCGTCAACTTCACACCTCAGGTAACCTCACTGGAGTCTCTGCACTCAGTTCAGAGTTTGGGGTGCCTCTACCTCTCACACATACCCTCTCTAGCACCTTGGAATCTACCCATGTCTCAGAAATGCCTATGGGGTCAGAGCCCCACTGACTAAAACCTCCTGCTAGGAAATTACTCATCATCTGTCTCTCAGTTCCCACCAGCATTGTCTGGAGGGAATTCAAAACTCCATGTGCCTGCTCTTCCTTCAGGCGAGCACAGGAGGCAGGGGACACAACGATTGCAAATGACTGGCTTTCTCCCCTTCTGCAGCATTACTCTGGGGGATGTGGGCTTGGCCAGCTTAGTGCAATTAACCACAGTACCGTCAGGTCCTCACAGGTCCTGCCTCTTCCTTAGGTGAGATGTGCTTCCACAGTTAAAGTGGCTGCTTGTTTTAAGGCAGTCAGGAGAATGGGGCAGGGGCTAGGGAGTGGTGTGCACACTGCCACCATCCAAAGAAGACCTGATCTGATGGTCCCCTGTTTCTTCCTCCAGAATGGCATCACACCACTGCACATCGCCTCCCGCAGGGGGAATGTCATCATGGTGAGGCTCCTGCTGGACCGAGGGGCTCAGATAGAAACAAGGACCAAGGTAGGTGTCAGCAGCCTTCAGGGTCAGGATGGGGTGAGTTCTGCCCTTGAGTCTGTCTGGGGACAGGCTCTCAATGTGCCACCTGACTCCCTGAGTAGCTGGGTTCAGCAAGAGACGATGACAAAACTGAGCTGTAGGCAAGCTGGTCTGAAGGCAGTATCGGAACTTCCATATCTGGAAAGATACTGCAGATAGACTTGTGCACCTAGCCACTGATGGCTGTCTTTGGGCTTTCTGTTTTTCACTGTCTTATAAAGGATGAATTGACACCGCTCCACTGTGCAGCTCGAAACGGACACATGAGAATCTCAGAGATCCTGCTGGACCATGGGGCACCCATCCAAGCCAAAACAAAGGTGTGTGCTTCTTCCTGGGTTTGCCATCTTGCAGGCCACACACCAAGTCAGGTAGACTTATCTTGTTGTTGTGAAAACAATCCTTATAAATGTGACTCTAATGGTGGCTCACAGTTTTAGGGGACATGGTCCCTCATGGTGGTGAAGGCATGGCTGCATGAGTAGACGGTCACACTGCACCTACTGCCAGGAAAAAAACACTGGCGCTTAGCTGGCTTTTTCCTTTGTGTTCAGTCTGGGGCCCCAGTCCAATGGATGGTGTCACCCACATCTAGGGTGGGCAGTATGGGGCCCCAGTCCAATAGATGGTGTCACTCACATCCAGGGTAGGCAGAATGGAGCCCCAGTCCAATAGATGGTGTCACCCACATCCAGGGTGGGCAGAATGGGGCCCCAGTCCAATAGATGGTGTCACCCACATCCAGGGTGGGCTATCCCTCTTCAGTTAAATCTCTCTGGAAACAGTCCCATAAGCATGCTGGTATATTTCTGACAAGTTGACAGTCCTGGAGATTAATCATCACAGCTCCACCCTCTGTCAGCCTGACACCCAGGCACATCACACAGTGACAGTAGCATTCCATCTCAGCTCCTAAATTCCCATTTACATCTCATGATGCAAAATGCATTTAATCCATCTCTAAATATCCTTATAGTCTTTAATAGTCCCAGCACCATACAGAGTGCAGAGTCCTGAGCTACAGAGATGGCACTGTGGTTAAGTGAGCTTTTTGCTCTCCTGGGGGACCCACGTTCAGTTCCCAGCACCCATAACAGGCATCTCACAACTGTCTGTAACTAACATGCACATAGCCGTGCACACACAGCCACACACACATAAACACACACATACACACTCGTATAATTTTATCTTAAATAATTATTTTTATTTAAATGTATATATGTTTGCCTGGATGTATGTGTGTGTGTGTGTGTACCACATGCATGCCTGGTGCCCACAGAGACCAGAAGAGGTTGTCAGATCCTCTGGAACTACAATCACCAATGGTTGTGAGCCACCATGTAGGTCCTAGACATCAAAATGCTTTTAACCACTGAGCTGTTTCTCCAGACCCTAAAACATTTTTTTAAGGGAGTGCAAAGTCCCAAGTCTCTTCTGAGACTCAAGACTGTCTCTTAACTGTGACCCCTGCACAGTCATAGCAAGTTCACTTCCACTATGCCATGGCACAAAGTAAACATCTCCTTCCAGAAGCAAAGAAAGATCAGACTATGCAAAGACTAGAACCCAAATCCTATAGCTCTGTGTCCAACATCTGGCCTCATGTTGAGATTATGTGTCCTTGTCCCTCCAGCTCCACTGCCTACAGTACCCATAGACCCTCTCTTGAGACTGCACTACTCAGTGCTTGCAGCTTTTCCTCAGAGAACATCCACATTGCAACTAGCTCTTCATCTTCACGACTTCATGCAATGGCCTCTCAGGGCCTCCTTGCAGAGACTCTGACCTTGCCTCACATTGTTTGGACTAAGTGTTCTCTAGAACTGTGGCACAAGACTCCATAACCCCACCCCCATCTTGCATCTTTTGTGTCTATAAAGCTATCACATGGACAGCACTGCCCAGACCTGTTGCTAGCTGGGACAGAGCCCAGACCCCCTGGAGCACAGTTACTTTGGCCTCAGAGTGCCTTTCAGGATTCTCCCTAGACAGTTGTGACTAGGGAACCCCAATTCAGTGACTCTCTCCTTACAAGTGAATTTGCATTTCCAAAGGTGGAGTTTTCAGTGTACTCTTGTCCTGGGGGCATCTTCCTGTTGTCTTAGAGCGGAGAAAGAAGGGTTTTTTGTTTTTGTTTTTGTTTTTTTCCATTTTAATGATTTAATAGTTACAGCTGCTTTTTCTCCACCACCTTGTCTACAACTTTAAATTTACTCATGAACCTTTCCCCATTTTTGTATCTTCATGTCTTTCTCTTCTTCAGTGTTGTTCTCTCTCTCACTGTAGACCCCACTAAGTAACCATGACAACACCTGAATGCTAAGCTGAACCCTAATTTTGAGAATTCTTCCACCCAACAAATTCATCTGTGATTTTATAATCAGCCTCACCCAACTTCTCAGGACACGGTAGAAAGAAGCCAGATTCTTTGGCGGAATATAACGTGAAAGCCAGCTTGTTCCTCTCTGAAACCCATGAGCTGGGCCACCACTACCTGCATTCAGACCTCTCAGCATTTTGGCCTCCCAAACTCTCACAAGCAGGGTACATTAGGCTCCTTTGATAATGTCCTGGGACTTCTCTAGCCTGAAGCACCAAAATCTACTACATTTCTCTTGCAAAGCAGTTCCTTCAAAGGCCTAGGAATTCTGTGTCAGGTTTAGCACAGAAACTGTGTGCTTCGTAGCACCACTTTTTCTGTACTAGTTACTTTTCTTGTTGCCAGGACAGAATATATAACAAGTTCAGGAAGGGAGAGTCTAGGGTGGCTCACAGTTTGAATTTAAGTCCATCATGGCAGGAAGGCCTGGCAGCAGGAGCATGAGGCAGCTGGTCATGTGGCATCCAAGTAAGAAACAGAGAGGAGAATGCTGGCACTCAGCTCCCTTTCTCCTTTTGTAGTCAGTCCTGGACCTCAGCCCACGGATGCTGCCTCCCATATTCAGGTCTTTCCTTCTCACATAAACCCTTCAGCTAACACCCTCAAATATACCAGGGTGTTTCCATAGTGATCATAAATCCAAACACATTGGCAATGGATATGAATCGTCACACACACACAGAGGATAACATTTCTGTAAAATCAGAGATGTTGATTCTCAGTATGATGGTACAAGTGACATCTATTGCAGTACCTGCCATACTGGAGGCTTCTTATCTAGGTCAGCAGTCAGCAAACTTTTTATCTAAAAGCCCAGGTAAGCAAATATGTTTTGCCTTTGCAGACAGTTTTGTTGCTGTAATTAAACTGCCAACAGGGCAGAAAAATATCCACAGACAATAGGCAAACGAGTGGCCGTGTTTCAATAGAATATATTGCAGTACATAACATACTGGAGGCTTCTTATCTAGGTCAGCAGTCAGCAAACTTTTTATCTACTATTGCAGTACCTGCCATACTGGAGGCTTCTTATCTAGGTCAGCAGTCAGCAAACTTTTTATCTAAAAGCCCAGGTAAGCAAATATGTTTTGCCTTTGCAGACAGTTTTGTTGCTGTAATTAAACTGCCAACAGGGCAGAAAAATATCCACAGACAATAGGCAAACGAGTGGCCGTGTTTCAATAGAATACTGTTTATGGGCTGGGGAGATGGCTCTGTAGTTAGGAACACTTGCTGTTCTAGTAAAAGATCCAAGATCAGTTCCCAGCACCCATATCAGTTGTCTTACAATCTCCTGTAATCAACAGCTCCAGTGAATCTAACACCCCCTTCTGGCCTCTGTGGGCACCAGCATGCATTTGTGCATACACACACAGACACACATGTACACATAATAAAAATTATAGGAAATATTAAAAGAGTATTTACAAACCTGAATGGCATGTGTTAGATTTGTCCCGCAGCTTCAGTTTGCCTGTTTCTGCTCTAAACCAGCCCTTATTTCTTCCATCCTAGTTCCTAAAAGGACAAGAGCTAAGCCTTTAAGAAGTTCTCAGAGCCTAGGACAGAGAGGAGAGATATTTAAAAATATTTAAAAACATTCCAGTCAAGCTCCAGGAGAAGCAGGAAAAAAGCTCATCTCTAGGTTCTAGTGTGTGGACACAAGTCTTCCAGGAAAAACAAAAGCTGTTGGCTACATCAGGCTTCCTCCATTCCCATCTGATTTCGAAATCATCTAAAGCAAAAACCAGGCCCATTTACAACCACAGACATGTGTCTGATAGGGACAAAGGAGAAAAGGATTTAGAACCATGATCTAGAGCTGGAGAAGACAGCTCGGTGGTTAGGAGCACTTGCTGTGCAAGCACCTGATTTGGGGCCTCACTGCCCATGTAAAAAAGCCAAATGTAACTATGTATGCACCTTAATCCTAGGGCTGTGGGGAGCAGAAACAGGGTCACCCGGGCCTGATAGCCTCCTGGTTGGGTCCCGGTTCGATAAGAGACCCTGTCTCAAGGGACTAAGGCAGAGAATGATAGAGCAAGACATCCAAAATCCTCCTCTGGCCTCTGAGCACATGCAAAGGCCATGCACATGTTATAACACATGAACACACACACACACAAATACACATACCAAAATGAAACAAAATATGTCCAAGCTAGTGAGATAGCTCAGTGGGTAAGGGTTCTTGCCACCATGACTTACATACAGCCTGAGTGCAATCACCAGGACTCACATGGTAGAAAGGGAAACTGACCCCAGCAAGTTGTTCTTTGACACACATACACCATGATACAGACATGCCTTCCTACCACCCCACAAACATACACAATAAATAAAATGGAAATTTTTCAATTAAAAATTTTAAAGAGGTATGAAGCCTGTTCTGTTGTCCTTTATCCATTCAAAGTCACATTAATTAAGGCCCACCACACATGTTGCATGCATTTGTTGGGCCCTGTGAGCATTTGGGAAGAATGGGGGAGAGTTTGTAATTAAGAGAAAAGGCATGCCCAAGACGGCAACTGCAAATTAGCTGATTTGGCAAAGGTGAAAATAAGGCCAGTGTGAGCGAACAGTACAGATAAGCAAAGCCTGAGGAAGTCCAGGGAGGTCGGGAAGCCTTCCTGGAAGATGTGGGGCTGGCTGGAAAGGCCTGAGGATTCATCCAGGTGGGAGAGAACATTTCATCAGAGCCATGCTCATTTGGGATCCACACTGAAGAATGGTGTACACAAGGAGGAGGTGGCATTGCTGTCACTGCCCTGAGTCCATGCTCTGTCCTCAGAAGCTCTGTCATTGCTTTATTCCTTCCTCCAGAATGGCTTGTCCCCAATTCACATGGCGGCTCAGGGAGACCATCTCGACTGTGTCCGACTTCTATTGCAATACAATGCAGAGATAGATGACATCACCTTGGATCACCTGACTCCTCTCCACGTGGCAGCCCACTGTGGTCACCACAGGGTGGCTAAGGTTCTTTTGGATAAAGGGGCCAAGCCAAACTCCAGAGCTCTGGTGAGAGGAGGAGTCTACTGTAGGAGTGCTGCTAGGAGGAGGGAATGCCGAGGCTGTGTGTGTGTGTGTGTGTGTGTAGAGCTGCATGGGTGCCACTAGGGGCAGCATCATAGACAAGTGTACATGCAGTGTGTGTGTGTCTGTGTGTGTGTCTGTGTGTCTGTGTGTCTGTGTGATTCACACATACAGATGTGTGAGTTTCTATACTGTAATCCATATCCTGAGGGTGTGGCCTCCTGCCCTTGTGATCAAATCTTCTGCAACAGGCTGAGGTCCACTGTGGTTTAACCCAGGAGATCTGATGATGGAAGTGGTGTTTATGGTGTGCATGTGGGTTCTGGGGCCCCAGACAGACTCAGAGCTGAGAGGCAGTGACATCTTAGAAGTAGGCCTGACCTTCAACCTGCTTCAGGGTGAAGATAAGTTGGCCTGACCTGAGCATATCTCCTCTGAAAGGGTCTGCGCCACAGCCCTGGGAGGCAACAAATTCAGATCAAAGGCAGAGTGTCCTATGACTGTGCTCCTTACCCTCTTCCTCAGGCCAGAGGCCACCTTCAAAGATCCATAGAGCATGTACAGGACTCTTGCCTCGCACTTGTCCAGGCTCAGAAGAGATCTGAAGGGACAGGTATCCTCCAGAGGCAAAAGATGGATCATCCATCCCTTCAAACGTGCTTGCCCTGAGATCAGAGCAGAGTCTGGGGTCTCTGAGGCTCCCTAAGCGTGGGGCTGCTGACATTGGGGTTGAAATGCACTATTCTGTCTATGGCAGGGGGTTTGGCACCCCCCCAGGCCTCTAGCCACTAAATGCTAGTAGTTCTGCTTCCCTACGTGTGACAGCAAACACAAGGCTACAGCCCCACCCCAATCCCCAGAAAACATACCTTGTTTGAGAAGTACTGCCCTATGGAGCACAGAAGAGGTACACAGACACACAGAACTGTCCCCATGAAGGGTGTGCCCAGTGTAACATGCTGTGGAGTGGAATCTGTTTCACTCAGTGTCAAATAGAAAGGAAATGGTTTGCCTCCAAAAAGTACTTTCAGTGTATCCAGAAATATGACAGATTTTCTTAAATGTTCCCAAATATCATTTTCAAAATATGCTTGATGTGTAAAGAGAAGGAACACCTGTTTGTTGTCTGCTCATGAAGTGACATGGTTATCCCGTGGCCTATGAGTGCTTGCTGGTGGGCTGGGAAGGGACAAGACTCCTTTCTAGTTCTTTGGCTACTGTCTGAGTTGTGGATCTGTGTGCTTTGTGTGGGCTACAGAACGGCTTTACCCCCTTACACATCGCCTGCAAGAAGAATCACATTCGTGTCATGGAGCTGCTGCTGAAGACAGGGGCCTCCATCGATGCAGTCACCGAGGTAGGAGAAAGCATAGTTGTGCCTCCAGCCCCGCCCCCTCCATTGCCTTCCATGGGTATTCTTCATAGCTATGTGTGGCTGTGGGTGTGCATGTATACATGAATGTATACGTGTGCATGTGTATGTCAGCATTTCCCAAAAGGGGCTGGATCAAGGTGACTCAGACAAGAGGACTTTTCATGATGGGAGAGGATTGTTTGAGTTGTAAAGTCGCAACACTTTGATGCCGCTGCTTTTTGTCCCTGTGGCCATTTTCCTGAGAACAAGCCCACCTGCATTCAGTCGGTTTTCTCAGATGGCCATTCATGGAGCTCTCCAGAAACAGAAGAGCATAAGACATTGTGGCTTGCTCTTCCATGTGGGGATAGCTCCTGCTCAGCACACTCCACTTGTCTCTTCTAGTCTGGACTGACACCTCTCCATGTGGCGTCCTTCATGGGACACCTTCCTATTGTGAAAAACTTACTGCAGAGGGGAGCGTCACCCAATGTCTCCAATGTGGTAAGTTCTCAAAGACAGTGAGAGCTCTTGGCTCTGGCCCACAGCTCTGGGGGAAGCTGTGGAAGGGGGTCCCTGTTTTCTCCACCCACAGAAATGGGATTCTCAGGATAGCAAAGGTGTCAGGAATGGGGTGAACATTCCTCTCTATTGATGTTCCCCCAGTTAAATTTGTCACACAACTGTACATCTTTAGAGTTTTATTTTGGAACTTCTATAAGTGCAATCTGGAAGTACATCTCCACATTTGAATATTCATTAGCTCTGAGATTTACTTTCACATTTACCTAGACTACTGAGAGAAAGAGAAACAGAGACAGACTTGGCTGGGCAGCTTCAGCTCTTGGACAAAATCCTACCAAGCCCAGGCAGCAATCTGTGTCCTTTTGCAACCCCAACATGTGTTAACAGTTCTATAACTTTGTTATTTTGCAGAAAGTAGAGACCCCGTTGCACATGGCAGCCCGAGCAGGGCATACCGAAGTGGCCAAATACTTGCTCCAGAACAAAGCCAAAGTCAATGCCAAGGCCAAGGTGAGTCCCGGAGGCAGGAAAGGAAGGTTCCCAGTATCACTCCAGCCTAGTGAAGGAAAGCCATTCTCATCTGAGGGACTCACAGTCTTCGCCACTCCCACGTTGTCATACTGAAAGCTGTGTTTCTGTAGAGTAACAAGGCCCAGGGAGCAGGCCGGGCCTGTGGCTTTTATGGGGCTAGGGAGTAGATGTGAGGGAAGGAAGGGAGTCAGTAAGACTCCAGTCACCAATGGTAATCAGCTGGGATTCACTAGATTTGAAAGTGGAGGATTCCCCGTTGTTTACTGGATGGTGAAAAAAACATAGGGCCAGCTACCAAGTTTGCAAGATAGGCTGTATGGCAAAGACTAGCACTCTGCAGGAGACAGGTTACTTTGAACGGCTGTATTTTAGCCCCCCCAAAAAAAACACATGCTATCCATGGAGAGCCTCCCCTCCCCCCACACACACCAAGAGCTATAGCTGGAAGTTGGGACAGAGTGAGATAAATGGCTGTCTCCCCTAATTCAGTGATTTCGTGCCCCATGACTGCTGGCATAGAGAACATCCAAGGAGAGTTCAAACATAAACAAGCATACAAGGCAGAAAGGTTGGGAGACAGAGCTTGTTGGAATAGTGATCAGTTTACTGAGTAGCTTCTTGGTGTTCAACATTGTGGACCCTTTGTGTCCATTAGCTGCTTGTTCTGAGCCTTATAAAATAAAATATTACAATTCCCACTTACAACTGGGGAAACTGAACCTTTGCGCAATTAAGTAGCAATAACCTCGAAGCTGGTGTGTTGTTAGAATTAAATAAGGTAGAGCATATTATTTTCTGTAACTCAGAGACTGGAAGAAATCCCAGATCTTTTTACTCATGCCTGAGTCACTTGCACTCTCTGGGCTTTACCTCCCGCCCCTGGGAAATACAGAGTTGGACCTGAGAAGGCTAACATTTCCAGTTCTGTGTTTTCACCTGGGGTCCAGGACGACCAGACACCGCTTCACTGTGCAGCTCGAATCGGCCACACGAGCATGGTGAAGCTCCTGTTGGAGAATGGCGCCAGCCCCAACCTGGCTACCACTGCCGGCCACACACCCCTGCACACTGCAGCCCGTGAGGGCCACGTGGACACAGCCCTGGCCCTTCTGGAGAAGGAGGCATCCCAAGCCTGTATGACCAAGGTACAGTCATATAGCCACTGTTCCAATTCTTAGAAAGCAACAGACTGGCAGGTTTAATGGCCCACCTGTGACCACAACACCCGGAAAGCTGAGACAGGAGGATCACTTGAGCCCAGGAGCTCAAGGCCAACCTGGGCAACATAGCAAGACTGGATCCCAAAAGAACAAAAACAGAAACCAAACAAACATGAACCCCCACATGTTTTTCAGAAACAATAGGTGAGGCCTGGGGCTCTGAAGGGAATCCCCATCTAACCTTCTTTGTGGTTTGTGGGACACTGCAGGTCCGTTGTGTCATCTCTTTCCCCAGAAAGGGCACAGTCAGTTCTCTGCTATGACCCAGGTTTCTTCTATTTCTCCTGCAGCAGTTAACTTGCTAGACATTTGCTCTGGGTTCCTGGATACAGGAAGGATCAGAGGGCTCAAGGACTGGGAAGTAGCTTTGTAAAGGAGTGCTTGCCTGGCACGCGAAGGCTCCAGGTTCACTCTGCAAAAGATAACTGACTAAATAGGTGAGATCCTGATGGACCGAGTGACACACACCTGTGATCCAATGCTTCAGAGAATGGAGCAAAGAGATCAGAGTTCAAGGCCAGCCTGGGCCCCATATTAAGATGGTCTCCAAAGGAACAATAATAAGTCAAAGGGACAACCCCTGCCTCCCTCAGTCAACAAGCAATTGACAATATCGGAGGTAGCCTTCTCTTGTTTCTCTTATGAGAGGTAGCCAGGTTGTACTCAGGGAGGCTTGTCCCTCTTGCAGGGACCAAAATACTCCGGTCCTTCTGTCACATTGGCATTCCCATGCTGGTTAGGGCAGGAAGAATCCTAACCATGCATTCCTTCAGGTCAGTGGCATTGGCTCCCATGGTCCTGATGGCCTGTGTTTCTTCTTAGAAAGGATTTACCCCCCTCCACGTGGCTGCGAAGTATGGGAAGGTACGGGTGGCTGAGCTGCTCCTGGGACATGATGCACATCCCAATGCGGCTGGAAAGGTGAATTTGAACTTCTCTCTTCTCTTGGGTTAGAGGAAGGACAGACTTCCCCACTGGGAATCACCTCTTGTACCTGGGCAGCCTTCCATAGAGAATGGTCTTTGGAGAAAGCAATCCTTGTCCATTAGAAGGACCTGGTGCTCTATGTACAAGTGTGTTGATTTCATGGCCCAACTCCCCAACAAGGATGAAGAAATGGCCCTAGATCCTGCTGGTGCTTCCTTTCAGTGGCTCTCCTTCAAGACTGGCTTTAGGCACACTTTTTTTTCTTTTTGTACAGTATTGATGGTAGAACCCAGCACTACTGTATATGCTAAACAAGAGATCTATTTTCACTTTTGTTGTGATAAAATGAAACCTGGGGCTTGCACATGCTTTACCACTGAACTATACCCAGCCCGGTTTGGGATAGCTACTTACCTATGAAAGAAGTACCATGGATTGAAGAATGGATCTTGGTTGTCTAAATGGTCCCTCATTTTCCTTCTGCTTTGTCACTCTGCAGAATGGCTTGACTCCCCTGCATGTAGCCGTCCATCACAACAACTTGGACATCGTCAAGCTTCTACTTCCCCGAGGTGGCTCCCCGCACAGCCCTGCCTGGGTAAGGCCCCTATACCAGCTCCTGTCTAAGCCAGTGGTTCTCAACCTTCCTAACATTGTCACTCTTTAATTTAATGCAATTCTTCATGCTGTGGTGATCCCCAACCACAAAATTATTTCTGCTGTTACTTTGTAACTGTAATTTTGCTGCTGTTATGAATAGTAATGTAAAAATCTGATAAGCAAGATATATGATATGCAACTCCTGTGAAAGGGTCATTCAACCCCCAGTGGGATCACAACCAACAGGTTGAGAACTGCTGGTCTAAAGTGACCTCAGAGGTTTTGTGTTTGACTCTGTAAACACAGAGACTTCACAACACCTTCACAAATACTACCTGCAGGAGCACTGCTGCTATCTGAGGGCTCGTAGCATGGGAAGTGGGTAATACTTTTCTGTCAGAAGGTCCCTCACAATGGTGGAATTAAATTTACACACTACGTGTCCCCACCCCCACCAGCTACATGTCAACTGTGTTTTGTAAACTAATGGTCAAAGGTCTGGTGTGTGAGTGAGGGTCTTCCTGGACCTACAAGCCTTGTTCTCAGAGTTTTCACTCGGTGGGACTGTGGCCCACTGGGATGTCTCATTCTGTGCCTGTTTCCAAGGTTCTAGTGCTGGGTGCAGTGGCCACACCTCTCTGGGCCTTGAAGCAAAGAGTCTTGTCTGAGTGTGAGGGTCTCCCTAGTTTACTTCTGTTTTTGAATATAGACACTGTGATGGGGCCTTTAACCCCTACATGTTCTGCAGTGGTTATACATCTGCTTCTGAAATGCACTTTCAAGAATAGGATTCTATGGCCCTCGAGGGACCAGGGAAGGGGAATTTAAAAAAAAAAAAAAAAAAAAAAAGCCAGCCAGAGGTCAGAGGAGCCTTTTGAGTACCAGATTCCCCCAGGGACAAGGTAAGATTTGTATCTGTGAGAAACAAGAGTATACTATGAGACTGACCAGGAAAAGAGTCAGGGCCAGCATAGTAGAGACACCCCTGTTGCCTATACCAGGTGCCCTACCTTCTGACAGGGCAGCCTGAGAATGATTTATGACAGAATTCACTCACACAGCAGGAGCTCCAGTGCTGCCCACCAAGGAGAGAGTCATTCGGTGGGTCACTGTGCTTTAGCTGACACCTACTAATTTTACCAGTAAGGAGGGGACCGGATGGCCTCAGCTTGTTTTCCCTGCTCAGGATAATGCTCACCTCAACTCCCAGCATCCATCTCCTGCAGACACAGAGAGCCTCGGGAAGCCCTTGTCTCCTCAGGCTTCGCCCCTACTCCTGTCTCCTGTGGTAGCAAGTCCTACGTCATTGTGCAGAGGCAGCACACAGCCGGCTAAGATGTTGACTTACTCCTGATTCTAAAAATAAGAAACCGGACTCCCCTCCTCCTCCTCCTCCTCCTCCTCATTCCCACTTATATAAACGGAGCTGGAGCCAGGTTCATGATATTTAAAGAGAGCGAAAGGCAGCTCAAAGCCCGAACAGATGGGGTTTGTTTCCATGGCAAAAATAGTTTCCAAAGTAGTCTGGCAATTTTGTAGAATTTCACAGTAAATCCCTTTGCACCCAAACCAAACTCTTCCCTCCTTGGTCTGATGCTAACAGATTCCCTCCCATGTGCATTCCTTCTCTGAGTTCATTTCCTGGGGGAAAAGAGCCTTTTACTGACATATACCCCTGTCTGACCTCTGCCTGGCACTCCAACCTAGTTGCCATTTCTCCTTGTCACCCACAAAAGGTCATCATTGCTTTAGTCTTGGTTTGGGGGACACTCTGATGGGTTGGTTCATGCTCCGAGATGGTCAATGACTCATCTTCCATTTTAACCCAAGGTGACCTGGAAGATTTAGCTGTCTCCAGGGTGAGCTTGTCCCTGACAAATCAGTATCTGTTCATGCCAGTGTGTTAGCTACCCACAGCAGCCCAAGTGACCTGGGGATCCTGCTGGTACATCCAGGGATGTACTGCAAATGTCTCCAATGACTGTGCCATGGGGGTGTTAAAACAAAAAGCCTTGCTTTGTTGTAGTGAATGTCTGTCCTTATTTCACTAAGACATCTCAGCCAGAAAAGTTGGTAGACCCTCAGTATTAAGTGGGTAGCAAGCAAAAGCCCACGGATAGCTCCCAGAGGTTATGGATCCTGTCGTGGAAACCTCCTGGCTTGGCAGTCCTCTACTCTGAATATTCCAGGGCCTGGCTACTCAAAGTGTGGTTCATGGACCATCAACCTCAGCATCAACTGGGGGCTGGTTAGGAACACAGAGCCCTAATGAGACCTTCTGGATCTAATTCTGCACTGAACACGGTCTCAAGTGCTAAGCACACCCATCACAGTCAAGAAGCCAAAAGAACCTTGAGCTCGATGTCTGTTAGAGCACATCACCTCTCAGAGAGAGCATTGTCACAAAATAGGGAATAATCTAGATGCCTGCCTTCCTAACTATAAGTACCTGGGGTGATGCTCCAGTAAGATCATGAAGCAACGTCACCAACTGACCCTATCACCTGTCTACTGTAGGATGAGGAGCTCACTGTTACTAGATACCCAATCACTGACAATGTTTTGCTACCAAAAACACAAAAATAAATAAAATTTAAAGCCAGAAGTGATAGCTTATACCTGTATTTCCAGCACTTGAGAGTCTGAGACAGGAGAACTGCCTCAAGTTTGAGGCCTACCTAGGCTATATGGGATTTCCTGGACAGCTTGGACTGCAGAGTGAGACCCTAGAACAGAGTGAGACACAGTTAACTAGTAGGGCCAATACACGTCACCCTGCCTTGCCCAGAAGTGTGTGTATGGCAAAGCCACCACACAGGGCTGCACTGTTCACATGTCATGATTTTGGAAAGTACATAATTATATTTGATCCACCTAGATTTTTTTTTTAGAAATAAACAAGGTGGATAGATGTTTCCCCTTTTAATGATCTTTAAAAATATGTAAGGAAGTCACCTAGATGGTGGAATAGTGCCCTGGGTCCCAGATGGCTTTGAGTAGAATAGAACTGGTTGGCATCCCCACATCCTTGACTCCCCTGCCAGCAGGTCCAAATCACAACACTGGGGGCCCAATTGCATAGGGAACAGTTTATTTTAGGGTTCTATTAAAAACAAACAGTAATACATACTGAAGAGGGAATGTAGGCTTCTCAAGAGCCGGTCATTCTGTTACTGTTTTGAGACAGGGTTTCAATATTTGGCCCTGGCTGATTTCAGGCTCAACCCACCTCAGTCTCCAGAATATTGGGATCACAGATGTGTGCCCCTGTACGAGGTTCCCGGTTTCTTTTCCATATAAAGCATTTGGGGCTTTGAGTCCCTACTGCCAGCAGGGAAGGTGGGAAACCTTAACTCTTCCCTACCTTGCCTTCAAGCTGGAATCCAAGTTTTGCCTGATAACATTGCTTCCTGCCCAGCAGCGAGTCTGAAGAAGATGATAGGTCATGACAGAGGGTGAGAAGGCTGCAGAAGTTTGCCGGCTATGCGAGCCTGCAGATCTAGCTCCAAGCTGGTAGTTTGTCTATTTGTTTATTAATTTAACATGCCTTCCTTGATGACAACAGCCCTGCTCAGAGGGTGAGCCAGGCCTAGCCCCACCCGGTACCCTCCTGTCATTACCTCATCAGTCTGTCAGGGGAAACAGATCTCAGGTACCTTCTTCTGTTTCAGAATGGCTACACTCCTTTGCACATTGCTGCCAAGCAGAACCAGATAGAGGTGGCCCGCAGTCTGCTGCAGTATGGGGGGTCAGCGAATGCTGAGTCTGTACAAGGTGTGACCCCACTGCACCTTGCTGCCCAAGAGGGCCACACGGAAATGGTTGCTCTTCTCCTATCAAAGCAAGCCAATGGCAACCTGGGGAACAAGGTAGGTCCCTCTGAGTTTACCTCACAGCTTCAGTGTAGGTATCAGCTTATAAGTGCTTGCCCAATGCTCTGCTTCTGCCTGAGATAGGTGGGCAGGACCCTGACAACAGTCCTATGTAAGTTTTATCTCAGTATAATACTGAATTCACAGCCTGCTGGGAAGGCTGTGAGACCCTAAGCCTTGGGTATCCTTCCAGTGTCATCCTGCCTTTCTGTACCTCTTTGAGGACCTACAAGAAGACCACCCTGGAAACCCAGAGTATACTTGCCCCAGTGTAGGCTAGCATGTACATTCAGGAGTACACTGCATAATTTGGTACTGAATATCTGCTTTCTGTGGTAGAAGGTATGTTTTGCGTGGTGTCTTCCATCTTCTCGGGTTCTTGTAATTCTTCCCATGTAAAAATCCAGGCCTAGTAGCTCATGATAATAGTCCCAGTGTTGCTGGGGGTAAGGGAGACAGGAGGGACATTGAAGCCCACTGACCAGCCAGCAGAGAGCTGTTTGTAGTGAGTGACCCTGTCTTAAAGATAAGGTGCATAGCTCCTAAAGTTGGCACTAAGGTTGACCTCTGACCTCCAAACATGCACATGTATGTGTACATCTGCACACAGACTCAAAGTGGTTCTCGATGTTGCATAATTCCATTAATAGGACAGGCAAATTCACAGAGACTGATTAGTGTTAGGGATTGTAGTCTCTCCATAACTATTAATTCTATTTTCCTTTCCTTGGGAGATCCTCCCCCTCCCTAGTTCCTAACTCTACCCCTAACCTCTGTGGTTGTACAGATAGATGGTAGCATGGCTATTGAAGGCTTAAAGGCTAACATGCACATATAAAAGAATACATACCCATATTTGGCTTTTGGGGTCTGGGTTACTTCATTCATGTCCTAGCTCCATCCATTTACTTGTGAATTCCATGATTTCATTTTTAACAGCTGAATACTATTCTGTTGTGTAAATGAACCACATGTTCATTATCCATTCGTCTGTTTGGATATCTAGGATGTTTCCAATTGCTGAGTAAAACAGCAATGAATATGGCTGAGCAAGATCCTCTGTGGTAGGATGAAGAATCCTTTGGGTGGATGCCCAAGGGTGGGATAGCTGGATTTTGAGGTAGATTGACTCCCAGTTTCCTGAGGAACCGCCACACTGATTTCCATAGTGGCTATGGAAAGTCTTGGGGTTTAAACACACCCAAGGAAACACAAGGAATAAATAATCGAAGACCAGCAAATCAAGAGCAGGGTAGGGGACCCACACCATAGCAACAAAATGACAGGAATCAATAAGTACTGCTCATTGATAACTCTCAATATTAATGATCTCAACTCTCCAATTAAGCAAAAATCTCAAAAGTGACAGGTTAGATTAGGAACAAGGATGGACCTTGAGTGACCTGAGGCATGCAGAGACAAGTGGAGTCATTGCATGGGGAACCAGAATTGGGCTTATGTATTCAGCATGAAGAGTAAAGGGAATGAGACTTTACATAAGACGGTGGTAGCCTGTATCTTCTAGAATAAGAAGCCAAGGCACCAAAGTTTACCATGGAAATAACAATTACCACAAGTGAAAGTCTTCATTAAGCTAATCTATTATCTGTGGGCCAACTCCAGCCCACTGCTTAGTTCTATAAAGCTTCATTGGAACTTAGCCATGTGTAGACAGCTTTTTTTCTGTCCCACAGCCATTTAGTCCCCCAAAACACACAGAGGATTATATTAATTTTAAACTGTTTGGCTGATGGCTCAGGCTTCTTATTGGCTAGCTCTCTCTTAATTATTAGGCCATTTCTATTCATCTGTGTATCTTCACGTGGTTTTGGCTTACCAGTGAAGCCAGGGCCTCTTTCTTCCTCGGCAGCTACATGGTGCCTTTCTGGCAACTCACTCCCTGCATTCTTCTTCCCAGAATTCTCCTAATCTGGTAGCCCAGCCTATACTTCCTGCCTGGCTACATCCGCCTGTCCATTGGCCAAAACAGCTTTATTCATCAACCAATAAGAGAAACATATTCACAGCACACAAGACATACCCCACCAGCCATGCCCAGTGGTTTCCATGCTGGTTAGAACTGCTTGTTACAAGGGTCGCCAAAGCTACAAAGTTACAGGTCTCAATTATCACAGGTCTCATACGTTAGCAGTCTGGCCATTAATAGAAAAAGCTGCCTGACACTTCACCATGTTAGTCACCTGACATTCAGATGAGGACCTAGAGGCCCAGGAAAAGAAAATTTTTGCCAAATAACCAGTCAGATAGCTGCTTTGGTGCTGCACAGGCCTGGGGCTCTCAAGCCTCACAGTTCTGTCATTATAGCCTGGAATTCTTCCCTGGCTCAAAGCTGATGGACATCTGTTTCTTTTTAGAGTGGACTCACTCCTCTACACCTGGTAGCACAAGAAGGCCATGTTCCAGTGGCAGACGTGCTGATCAAACATGGCGTCACAGTGGATGCTACCACCCGGGTAAGGCAGGCAACCCCATCCTGCATCTGTAATGGCTCTGTCTCTTAGCTGCATGCTCCATCACAATCCACCCAGATGTCCCCCTCACACCTTAGAGCATCACAGGGGCATCCCCTCACACCTCAGCGTTGTCTCCTTCATGGAGACAAAACCTTGAGGACCAACTGCCTTTTCCTGGGACTGGTAAGAAGTCTCGAGACACCAGCATTCATGGTCACTAGTTATAACCGGGAATTTTAACAGTTTACTAGACCTTTGGGTTTGTCATACGAACTTGGAAGGGGTGTTTACACATGATGTTACGTCCTGCCTCGTTTTGTGTGAAGTAAGCATGTGGAGGGTGTCCAGACTTCCTCTGTGTCACGTGGAAGTATAGCCCTTTTATTGCCAGGGTTGTGTTGATGGGAGTTTGACTTTCTCTCAAGCTCTCTGTGGCAAAGAGCCCTATGTTGTGTGTAAGGGTGGCTGTGTGTGTGGCGCACAGCACCCTGCTCTGGGCGTGTGCAGTGTAGGGGTGATGACGGGGGTGACAGGAAGGAGTTGTAAAATGTGACATCTAGAATAAGAAGCTGGCAGCCCAGGGGGAGAAAAAAGCACCTCCAGCTGGTGGGAGAAGGAACTGCATGGAAGAGGAACACCCTGGTTCCTCTTGTTGCCAGACATCTGCCTTAAGCAGAAAGGACAAGGGGCTGAGGATGTAACTCGGGGTAGAGAGTTTGCCTAACCATGTGCAAGGAAGGTCCTGGGTTCTGTCCCCAGCACAGAACTCCCCCCCCCAAAGAAGTAACAGAGTGACACTGCCAGCAACATGCACACACGCACCCCAGTTCCACAGATGCACTAGCCACTCACCTGAGAAGAGCTGCCTACAGCTCCAACAAAAATCTCTTTAAGGCCCAAGAGTATCCTTGGCCTAGTTCAGTCTTTGGGGTCCTTCCCTGAAGAACCCTGTTCTGGAGATTGAAGCTGTCTCATAGATTACAAAGTCATCCCAGGACATGAAGGTCTGACCCATGGGATCTGTGTTCAGAGGATTGCTGTAATCTTCAGCTGGCTCCCTAAGGACATGTGTGACAAAAGACATGTCAGCCATTTGGGCATAACACCAAAGTAATCAATGGAAGCTGGAGCCCAGCTTTAGCAGGAGGGTGTGGAGCACCTGCTGGTGTGTGGGAGATCAGGCTCCATCCCTACCTAAGAAACAAAAATCAATACGAGAGACTTTTTGGGAAATAGCACTGCAGCCCACTGTCACACAGCTAACCATGGCCCATCCCTTTAGACCATGGTCAGTTCCTATAAACTCTAGTAACTCAGCTAGCATCTGGATATTTACAGTGGGGCTCCACCCCTCTAGTAGAAGACAGAAAGAAGTCTGTTATTGTGAACATTAGCATTGACAGTGCATGGCTATCTGTCTTTCCAGAGCTCCTCCTAGCACAGACCTGTCAGCCCCTTCTTCTAAAAAGAACACTTCTGGAATCTTGGCCCCCGATCTCAGATCCCCTGCCACACCCCAAGCCTTTCTAAGCACGGCCACAGACATTAGTCCCCCTCTGTCCTCTCTCTGCTTCTTCATGTCAGCTGACCTTGATCATCTTCAAGGCTAGCAGCTTTCAGCCTAGCCCTCTCTCCCGGGTTCATGTCAGCCTTCCAATTGCCTGCTTGATGACTTTGGGGACATCTCAACCTTCTTTTGTCTGACACTAGTCCTGTCCCTTCTCTAACCAGCATCAGCTCTGTCTCTTCAGCAGCCCCCACCCTTCCCCATAGCCTCTTTCCCCTCCCTTAAGCAGCCGCTTCTGCAAGGATCTGTTTGAGCGTGGCTCTGCTGGTGCTTGGGATACCCGAATGACTTCATAACCACCTTCTTTTCTTGCCTTTAAGATGGGTTACACCCCACTCCACGTGGCCAGTCATTATGGAAATATCAAGCTGGTGAAGTTTTTGCTACAGCACCAGGCGGATGTCAATGCCAAGACCAAGGTACAGGGAGGGGTACCTTACATCCATCTCCCACGCTGACAGCTCCTGGGCACTCACTTAGGAGGCAGCCTGAGCCACTCCAGGCCCTGTTTCAGTCCTGAACTCTGAACCTAGAGAAGGAAGTGGGGGTTGGCGGGGCAGTTGTAATAGATAGACTTTGGAGTTTGTATGCAGTTCTTCCCCCCAACAGCTAACTGACCATGTCAAATGCCTGCCTTACTTCATAGCTAGGATACAGCCCCTTGCACCAGGCAGCTCAGCAGGGACACACAGACATTGTGACACTGCTTCTGAAGAATGGTGCTTCTCCAAACGAGGTCAGCTCGGTGAGTACCACCTGGTCCCTTTTCACATAGTGTGGGGAGCATCCTTGACCATGTAAGTTGCTGACACTCTGGAGTCTGGGCAGAGCTAGGCACCATAATGTAGCTGCCTTGTATAGTCCAGGATGGTTCTCTTTTTGGTCACTGTAGTGTATCCTTTGTAACACCATGCCTCCTCTCCTCTGGCTTGTAACTATTCCTGCTGACATACCATCTGGTGTGTTTGAAGCTACCTTCATCAAGGATGGCATCAGTAGACAAAATTAAATACTTTGCACCTCAAATACACCCCTGGCAGCCTTGGTGATGTGGTTTGGGATGAATTCCCTGTCCTGACCATGGGGTTTGTAGGGTTAACCTGCAGGGCTGTTCCCAACTCACAGCTGTGGACCCTTGGCTGTAGGTGTTTGCTGAGGGTGTAACTGCAGATGGGCTGAAGTCATGTGCCGCCCAGGCACGCTCTGCAAGCAGAGAAGACCTTCAAAGAGAATAAGAGCTACAATGCCTTGCAGTTTCCACCTAACCCTTTCGCTTAAAATCAAAACATTCAAGTGTGCCCCTATCCCATTTGGGGAATTTGTGACTTCTGACTGCTCTAAGTAGTTGCTTTAAATCATTCAGGATGGCTGCTATTATAACACTCAGTTGTTGGCAGCTGAAGAAGGGGTGTGGGAACATTGCTGTTACCTGGTTCTTCCCAGCAGTGCTTGTGGGCCTTGTGGGGACTTGGCCCTGTTCTCATGTCCAGGCCATAAACTTCACACTGAGGCCTTATAGTGTGTCCTGCTTGCCTCTCTGCCTTGTCTCATCTCTGTGGTCTCCGGGATCACACACTTGTACACAGATCTTGGCTTCAAGGCCCAGTCTGTCCGCTTAGGCCCTTCTGAAGAATCCAAGCAAGCCTGGTCTGTGTGCAAGAGACAGACTCCTCTGACTGTCTGCTTTCCCTCTGTCCTAGAATGGAACCACACCTCTGGCAATAGCCAAGCGTTTGGGCTATATCTCTGTAACAGACGTGCTCAAGGTGGTCACGGATGAAACCAGTGTAGTGGTATGTCTGCCCCACCCCCCTGAGGCAGCCCCCACCCCCACCCCAGCTAGAGTGCTTGCTCTGAGGGTTACTGCCCAAAGCCAATGCCTCCCACCTTGTAGGTACTACTAGCTACAGGTGGGGCAATACTGCCACCTAGTGTCCAAAGAATTGGATGGGGCTTGAGGAAAGGGCAAGCAGTCTGGCATTATCCTGCCTGTGGCACCTAACGGCTTCAGCTTCCAGATCAAATGCCTCCTAGCCTGGTTCTCTTTGGAGATGCGTCTTTCCGTGTCCCTTCGTGGTTGCTCATCTGGGACAATAGCTGGGCTGAAGCAAGGATACCACTCTCCATTCTGAGTGGGTCCTATCCCCTGCCCTTTCTCTTTTCAGTTAGTCAGTGACAAACATCGGATGAGCTACCCTGAGACAGTGGATGAGATCCTGGATGTATCTGAAGATGAAGGTAAAATCTTTGGTGATGAACTCAGACTCTAACCTCTCAGGCTGCCCTTGGAAAAGATCCAGGCTATACATACAAGCACACATTGAAACCAGGGAGACCCGCTCCTTACAAATACTATTGACAGAATACCTCCTTCATGATGATCCTCAGTGAAGGAAAATTGAGAACTTAGAGGTTAATATTTTAGACCTCTAGTCTTTATGTGCAGATTAGTTGTATATATGATGCTCCTGCAGCTGATCAAGAATGGGTCCACTCAAGCTAGCTCTAAGAGCTGGCGGCAGCTGCAGCGACATCTGGCTGCTGTTTTCCTTGAGCCTCTTCAAATGATAAGGCAGATTGTTTAAAAAGAGAGTGTGTCTTGGTCGGCTGCCTTGTCAGAAGACAGTGTGGTGGGCAGGAAATTTGGAGTCTTCCATTGTCTTTGGGGAGATAAAGGTTTCTACTTCATGATCTCCAGAGTATCTTTCCAGTTTCCCTTCCCCAAGTAAGCCCTGCTTCCTCACAGAATTGAGGGAATGCAGGATAGCATAGAGTCAGGCCTGCTCTCTGGCTCCTTCCATCTGGAATTCGGTGGTTGTGTGACAGTCAGCTAGAGTTTCTAGCACATACACCCTTAACAACATGCCTCTCGCTTTCTGGAGTCCGATGCTGTCATTCCTTCAACTTGGCTCTTCTTTGCCTTCCAGGAACTGCTCAGATAACTGTAATGGGTATGAAATGCTTTATGTTCCCTGTGGTCTCTCTCACCAGAGCACATCCCACCATAAGCCCACGAGTCCTCACTAACCCATGCCTGCTTTTCATCCCCGCCCCCCCCCCTTGGCCCCATGCAGGGCCTGGAGCTGACTAAACAGGACATGCACACCATGAAACCACCTCTGTATCTGTGCCCATGCCACTGTGTCTGTGCTCATCCTGCATGAACAGTTACACTTCCATCCTGTCAGCTCCAGGTCATAGGGCCGAGTTCCTCCTGCAGAGCCCAGGCTGCTGCTCTAGTCAGGCTAGGATGAGGGGATGGGTACAGGTTGCTGATTTAGGTGCAGGGAGTTGGATCCTCTTTATGGATTTGGAACTACAAATAACAATTCCAGGATGAGGAATTCTCAAGGTATAGAAATAATAATGGAAACAAAGGGGTTTCCATGACAAAAAGAGTGCTCCAGCCTCCAGTGAATAGGTTTGAGCACTGTGCTGCTTCCCCCTCTGTAATGGCAGATTGGAAGTATCTGCAAACTAAACGGGGTGTGGTAGCTCATGCCTTTAATCCCAGTATTCAGGAGGCAGAGACAGGCGGGTTCTTGAGTTCAAGACCAGCCTAGTCTACAAAGCAAGTTCCAGAACAGCCTGAGCTACACAGAGAAATCCTGTCTCAAAAAAGAAAAAAGGAAATATATCTGTAACTGTGACTCTATGTGGAGCCATTTTACACTCTGAAAGAGCTGCTGTGTGATGAGAAAGTCATCAAACAAACAAACAAAAACCTTCTTTCTGGCTATGTTGTTCTCCATCCTTCAAAGCCGGGAGGGGGGAGAGACAGTGGGATTAGAGCCTGACCCACCCTGGGCTCTAGTGCTGGAAGAGCAGGACTGGGAATTTCCATGGCTAACAGACCCCTCGGGCATCCGAAACCAGCACTGCCCTCCACTTTAGAGTAGACATCGAGAGGTGGACTGTGAAAAGTGCTTACTAGGAACAGAAAGTGACTTCTTATCCCCAGCCTGCCACTCACTTGAGCTCCTGGTTTTCAGGTGAAGAACTTGTTGGCTCCAAGGCTGAGAGGCGGGACTCCCGCGATGTGGGTGAGGAGAAAGAGCTGTTGGATTTTGTGCCGAAGCTAGACCAAGTGTAAGATGGGCTCAGCGCGGGTGGGAGGATCATGCTGTGGATAGCCAGGTGCGGCTCTAGGACTCAGGGTAGCGGAAAGCCAGGCCTGGGTGTGCCAAGGGAGGGAGGGGCTTCGAGGTGCAGGGAGGCATGGGTCAGTTTGTTGATAAGAGAGGCATTTTATCACGTGAGATGAGGTGAGGGGTGAACAAACAGGTCATTAGATGGACTCAAGTTTGTCACTCAGGTCTCTCAGGATGATGGAGGGGCCTGCTTCAAATGTTCTGCTCTGTGATTGGCTGATGTTTCTGGTTCGTAGGGTGGAATCCCCAGCCATCCCAAGGATCCCTTGTGTCACCCCGGAGACTGTGGTCATCCGATCTGAAGACCCAGAACAGGTAAGGAACTCTTTGTCTCTGCCTGTCACAGAGGGGGAGAACATGCCATGATTGTGTTCCTGTGACCTGGGGACAATAGGAGGTAAAGTGGAAAAGAAGCCCACACCCTCAGATCCATGATTCCCTGTTGGTTGGCATACTCATTATGCCCGCTGTGGGTTCCCGGAGCCCCACAGTGGAGGGCTCCAAGTGTGAGGAACACTATCATAAAATGCAGGAAGATGTTCAGGCCACCAGCTGTGGGGCCAGGAAGGAGCCTTCCCCCTGTGGTGCACAAACAATGAAGCTCTGACACCTCAGCATCCTCTCTCTTGAGAAGGGGTCACTGTGCCTTTCCTCATCTTCCCCCATTTGATAATAGGAGCCAGAGACCCCCACATGGACAGAAAGGTATCAGAGCACTGTTCTCAGTGTAACAGTTGTTTGTGACAGTATCCTGTTTGTGCCTTCCTAGCCTTCCACTGGATTTTGTCCACAGGTAGCTAGGGGTGGAGGATGACAATGGTTCCAGTTTTAAAGATTAGGCCATTGTCACTCTCCTCTGGAGCAAGAACACTTCTTAGGGAGATGAGAGAGTTGATGTGGTGTTGAAGGCTGCCATGTCTGCCCTAAGGCCTGACCTGACAACCAGGGTGGGCTGAACCCCTCCCCGCTCCACAAAAGGATATGAGTCTGAAAATATGCTAGGGTGTCAGCATGGTCAACAGCATTGGTGTTGCTGTGCATTTGAGAGATAATCAGATGGGACCCTGGTACCACTGTGACATTGTCCCTGGATGCTGTCAAAGCAGCAGGAACAAGCCCAGGAGACCTGAATGAGTCTTATCCTATAACCATCCTGTTCTCTACACACGCACACACACACACACACACACACACACACACACACACACACACACACACACACACGGAGAGAACCAGTGGTTTGTACATGCTAAGCAGATCCCCAATTTCCCTTTCCAAGTCTTTGCTTAAGTCATTACCCCGGTCAGAGATGTATACTACATTTTTGCTAATTGCCCATCTAGGGATCCATATAAAGGGTTGGGTTTAATTCTCTCCCATGAGCTGCTATCAACTCTGAGGCCACAAATAGTCTTCCACCAGCGAGGAATTTCATGGAAGTGGTTTCTTTCAGCTGAGCTCTGGGACCTGAGCACATGTTTGGGTATCCTACGGGTAAGATAAGAGACAGGATACTCTTTTCTTTTCCACAGGGATCTAAAGAGTACGATGAGGACTCACTCATTCCCAGTAGCCCAGCCACAGAGACCTCAGACAACATTAGCCCCGTGGCCAGTCCTGTCCACACAGGGTGAGTGTTGCACACATCTGGGTGTTTCCTGTCCTTGAGAAGGAAGCCAGCCCTGTCATGATCTACCTGTACTTCCAGGTTTCTGGTGAGCTTTATGGTTGATGCCCGGGGAGGATCCATGAGAGGAAGTCGTCACAATGGCCTGAGGGTGGTGATCCCTCCCCGGACATGTGCAGCACCCACACGCATCACCTGCCGCCTGGTCAAGCCTCAGAAGCTGAGCACACCACCCCCGCTGGCTGAGGAAGAGGGCCTAGCCAGCAGGATCATCGCACTGGGACCCACAGGGGCCCAGTTCCTTAGGTGAGATATGCCCTCATGGGGAATGTTTGCAGCTAGTGTCTCCAACCAGTTCCTGCCACTTCATGAAGCTAAGGCTGAAGGTCCGCCCCACCCAGGCAGCGCCCAGCATCTCTTTTCTCTGCTGTGGTGGCAAACAGGCTTGCCTGCCTCTCTGGGGCCTATGAAGCAGTTTATGGCTCTAGAGGAGCCCACTTCTCTCAAAAGTGCTAGGTGTCTAGTAAAGAGAACAAAGAGAAACTGGCTATTTGGGGACCTAGGGTTTACTCATGTAAGCACCATAGTGTTCATCTGAAGGCATTCCCCACAGAGGGTCCCCAAGGCCCTCAAGAGGAGTGAGCCACAGGTACTCTTTTCTCACCTGCCTAAAGCCCACTGGGGTCACCGGAGCTCTGCTCTCCACCAAGAACAGTAAAAGCTTTAGCCTCAGTGGCCCCGGGGCAAGTCTTTTCCTCCATAGCCCTGGTCTGTAGGCCCTTCTCCCTGTAGGCTGTGAGCAGGGCCGGCTGCCATCACCCTTGGGCCTAGGCATGTGGCCTCCTCTAGAACACTTTCTCACCAGTTGCTGTGCTCTACCTTAGCCCAGTGATTGTGGAGATCCCCCATTTTGCCTCACATGGCCGTGGGGACCGTGAACTGGTGGTGCTGAGGAGTGAAAACGGCTCTGTGTGGAAGGAACACAAGAGCCGTTATGGGGAAAGCTACCTGGACCAGATCCTCAATGGCATGGATGAAGGTAAGGGGCCCTAGAGTTCCGGGTGGGTTTCCTGCTTCAGGAAGATGGGATCTGGGGTTGCACACTTGGGGTGGTCTGTCAGCACTGCCTGGGGTTTGGGAATGGACCTTATGATCAAGTGCTGGATCCCCAGGACATGTAAGTAGGCATACTGCCTCCCACTCCTGTGCCCAGTGCCTCTTCCACTGGGCCTCTGGGTCAGACAGTACTTCCAGGCCACCTCCGTGCCAAGCCCCTGGAGAGTGTATGTGTCAGGGGTGTGGAGACTCTGAGTCCACAGTCACAGCTCAGCCTGAGCCTTCTAGGCCACTACCCTGAGACCACAGTCATAGTTCATCCCGAGGCAACTTATGTTTCCAGAGCTGGGGAGCCTGGAGGAGCTGGAGAAGAAACGCGTGTGCCGCATCATCACCACCGACTTCCCCCTGTACTTTGTGATCATGTCCCGGCTGTGCCAGGACTATGACACCATTGGTCCTGAAGGAGGCTCCCTGAGAAGCAAGCTGGTGCCCCTGGTACAGGCAACATTCCCTGAAAACGCAGTCACCAAGAAAGTGAAGCTGGCTCTACAGGTGATGTGGCCCCTCCTTGCGATTCCCAAGGCTATGTGGAGGTCGGGCTCTGGAGGAGACCTGGCCCCTGAGGACAGTCCCACACTTTTGTCTGGGAAATCTGAGCTGAAGAGGAACTCTGTGGGGGGTGGGGAGCAGGTGTTTTCTAAAGAGCTGTAGACAGCCCAGTGTGGCCACTAAACATGGCCACTGAACATGGCCTGCTATGTCCCTCAGGAAGGATTCCACAGGAGGCCTGAAGTGGGCCACAGTGCTGAGGAAAAGCATAGAAATGAGAGACAGAGAAAAAAAAGGCTCAGAAAGACACTAAGCTGTGGGTTGGGCCTAGGTGGACACCATTCCCATCAAAGTAGGGGGGGGGGTGGCCACTTTCTCACCTGAATTTTGAGGGCACCTGGCTGACCCTGTCTGGCCAGCCACTGACTTGCCTGGGGCTAAGCCTTCTGTCTTTGGCACTTCACAGGCCCAGCCTGTCCCAGATGAGCTGGTGACCAAGCTCCTGGGCAACCAAGCCACGTTCAGCCCCATTGTCACTGTTGAGCCAAGGCGCCGGAAGTTCCACCGTCCCATTGGGCTTCGAATCCCACTTCCTCCCTCGTGGACTGACAACCCCAGGGACAGTGGGGAGGGAGATACCACCAGCCTGCGCCTACTGTGCAGCGTCATTGGTGAGTGGTGTTCTTGGTGCCTGCTTCATTGGCAGCAGCTGGTTTGGGGCACACACTGGGTGGTGAAAAGATAAAGCCAGCAACGTCCCTGTGCTCTTACGGCTTCCCTGGGTGTGAAAGAAAAGTGAACTGAGTATAAGTCCATGACCTGAGGATGACTCCTCACCACAACATGGGGAGATAGTGCTCGGGTTGCAGACCAAGGATCACCCGGATGTACCACTTCTGTCTTAGCACATTGGTAAGCTTCCTGCCTATGAATGGAAAATATCCCCCAGCCCTACTTCTGCTGCTCTCATAGGTGGAACTGACCAAGCCCAGTGGGAAGACATAACAGGAACAACCAAGCTTGTGTATGCCAACGAGTGTGCCAACTTTACCACCAATGTCTCAGCCAGGTAAGACTCGGCCCTTCCTTGCCCAGCATGGTGCCCGCAGGGAGCCATCCTCATGGCCTGGCCGGCTCTCCCAGGTCGGGCTTGAAATTCCTTTGTCGCTGCTCCCACCAGACAGGGTACAATGAGCACATGCTCACCACTCGCTGTCTCCTTTTAGGTTTTGGCTGTCAGACTGTCCTCGGACTGCAGAGGCCGTGCACTTTGCCACCCTGTTGTACAAAGAGCTCACTGCAGTCCCCTACATGGCCAAGTTTGTCATTTTTGCCAAGATGAATGACCCTCGGGAAGGACGGCTCCGATGCTACTGCATGACAGATGACAAAGTGGACAAGACCCTGGAACAGCATGAAAACTTTGTGGAGGTGGCACGGAGCAGGGACATAGAGGTATGGCTCCCAGGTCTCCTTATAACACAGCCCTGGAAGGCTTTTCTCACTTCACACAAGGAAATAAAGCCCTGGGTTAAGGTGGCTCTCATGGCTGGCTTCTGGAACATGATGGCCAGTCCAGGCCAGAAGTCCTCCCTCTGGAACTGTAGGGACCTTTAGGCCATATTGCGTCAGCTCCTCTCCCAAGAATCATCTTAGCTAAGTTATGACAAACATGAGGGTCACCACCACAGGCATCTCAGGGACTTGTAAGGTAAGAATTGGCACTTGCTGAAGTTCACATGAATCTGGCACAATTGAAAGTAACTTGCCAGCCTGGAGAGCTGGCTCAGCAGTTAGGAGCACTTACTGATCTTGCAGAGGATCTGGGTTCAGTTCCCAGCACCTATATCAGACATCTCACAACCACCTGTAACTCTAGTTCCAGAAGATCCAATGCCCTCTCTGGCCTCTGTGGGCACCTGCATGTATGTGGTATGTGTGTAAGTGCATGTGCGTGTGCACGTGTGCGCGAGTGCGCGCGCGCGCGCGCGCGCGCGTGCACACACACACACACACACACACACACACACACAGTTTTTTGAAATCCTTTTTTCTTAAAGTACCTTACTTGTAAGGTAGGGTTTAGCTCTCATAGCTGTGGGCACCTTTGTTACCCCAGTGTACACACTGGGAAGCCAAGACTGGGAGAGAGGGTTAAAGTCACACCTGAGCTGCAGATGATAGCTCTAGGATTTGACCCAAACTCCTTGCTTCTACCAGCAGCCCTGGGGTGTACTAGCATCTAGAAAAGTGGGAGCTATGTGGATAAACAGATGAGAAGATGGGGGCTGGGTTTGAAGTTATTACTAATCCCAAGATTCTCTCTCATGTTTATATAATAAGCTAGGGATAATCTGAGGGTCTGGCCTCTGAATCCTAGCTGGGAAGGCTGACATGTTAGTCAGGGTTTCTATTGCTGTGTTAAAACACCATGACCAAAAGCAACTTGGGGAGGAAAAGGGTTTATTTCAGTTTACAGTTCATCACTGCATCACAGTCTGTCATGGAAGGAAGTCAGGGCAAGAACTCAAGTCAGGAACTTAGAGACAGGGAGTGAAGCAGAAGCCATGCAGGAATGCCACTTACTGACTTGCTCCTCGTGGCATGCTCAGCCTGCTTTTATATACAACCCAGGACCAACTTGCCCAGGAGTGGCAGAGCTGGGCCCTCTCACATCAATTACCAGTCAAGAAAATGCACTGCAGGTTTGCCTACAGGCTAGTCTGGTGTATGTGTGTATGTGGGGGGGATGCTTTTCTTAATTAAGGTTTCCTCTTCTCACATGACTCTAGCCTGTATCAAGTTGACAAAAGAACTAACTCTGCGAGCTGGCTTGGTATCAGAAGTTCGGGGCTGAGACATAGGCGTGCCTGGTTCTGATGCTGCCCTGTACTCACTGGTCAAAATACTTATTGTCTATGGCTTCCGTTTCCTCAACGGTCAGATATGATCATGGGAACATCTCAGTTGAAGCTATTATGCACATAGAAGGAATCTTTACATGTGAGAAGTACTTGTAGGCTTTTCAGCACACCTCACAAACAAAACATCTTCAGATAGACCTAAGAACATACCAGGACCTTTTCAGAAGACATGCTATGTTGTCTCCTGACAAGCCACTGAGTTCCTGGGAGCATGCTCACTATAAGTCTGTATCAATAGGGCACGGCTTATATATGACACTTTCCCCTAAACGAGCAGTGAGGCTTCTCATAACCCATCCCCTGTGCAAGGGATGAATGGTGAGGGGAGGGGAACACTGAAACTTACAGGCGTTTCTATATGAGTTCAGCATGCTTTTCTTTTCCTATAGGTTCTGGAAGGAATGCCTCTATTTGCAGAACTCTCTGGGAACTTGGTGCCTGTCAAGAAAGCAACCCAACAGCGAAGCTTCCACTTCCAGTCATTTCGAGAGAACCGTTTGGCCATCCCTGTGAAGGTGCTGGCCTCCTATGGCCACCCTCTTTACTTGGTCCAGGAGTTTGGGAGGCAGGAGCCCCTGAGAACACCAGCCTAGAAGCATGAAGGGTCCTGCTAAAGTTCCCTGTGTGTAATTGAATCTAGGTGAGAGACAGCAGTCGCGAGCCAGGAGGGTTCTTGTCATTCCTGCGGAAGGCGATGAAGTATGAAGACACACAGCACATCCTCTGTCACTTAAATATCACCATGCCCCCCTGTACCAAGGTGAGCTGCCACCTGCCAATGTCCCTCAGAAGTTCCCAAGCATGCATACATCCAAAGGGGTTCTCTCTTCATTCTGAAACACTAACTTCAATTCCCAGGATCCCCCAGGGCTCTTGCTCTGCTATGGACATTTGATTTGTGACTAGGCAGAGAAAGCTTGCCCTAGAATGTCCATAAAGCCTGGTTTTGTGATGTGAGGAACGAATGTTAGGGCCAGGTGTAGATAGGACATGGAGCCAGCCTCTCTATAATGTGGAGGACAGGGTCCCCCTGCTGCTCTAGGGATGTCTGGGGCTTACAGTTGTATGGGGACTCGCCCAAGGTCACTTATTCATAGACAGAAGTTGTCAAGACTCTTTTTCCATTTGTTTGCCTGTCTTTCCCCTCAAACAAGCGGACCCTGGTGTCCCCAGCCACTTCCAAACCCAGGTTTCCATGCTCGGCCAAGGAGTCTTGACCGATGGTCTGTTTCTGATCCCTGTAAGAGTCTCATGCTGTGGCTTGGACCTTTGGAGCAACTCCATCCTCAGAATGTCTCCATGATTTGCCAATGCTATTGTGCTGTTGTTTGAGTCATTAGCCTTCTGTGGTCACCTAGAAGAGAAGCAAGGTCACTTTCACATATGTGACTTGATTTCTCTTTCCTCCTGGGGATGAGGGTGAACCTATTTCTCTCTCAAATGGAGTTTCCAGTGTTAGAACAAAAAGAAATGAGTCAGAAATGAGTCATTGAGCAGAAGCAAATCCAGAAAGAAAAACTGAGTTTAAATTCAAATTCTGTCTCTACTGAGTGATCTTGTGCAAGTCACTCTCTATGCCTTAGTTCCCTCACCGATGAAATAGAAGTTATAATTGTGCCTGCCTGCCTCACATGTGGTTGTGAGTACCAAAAGGAGCGGCTCACATGATAATGGCCACCTGGGTCTGCCATTATTGATATTATTAATGAGGCATTTGAGTACCACCAAGCTCCTTCACTTCCACCTCCTACCATGTGTTTCATCTATCAGGCCATGGACCACCATGCCCCTTCCCCAAAACATGAGGGCTTGCATCAGCTTCTCTAAGAGGGAATACACCCAAAATCCATGGTACCCTTTCTTTGTCTTCTGCAGGGTGGTGGAGCAGAAGACAGGAGGAGGACCCTGACACCCCTGAGCCTTCGATATAGCATTCTCAGCGAGTCCCGGCTGGGTAGGAGCCCCTTGCCTAGTACCCTGTATGCTTTCTCTTATAAGAATGCAAATGTATTCCCATCAAGGCAATCTACCAGGGATTTCCTTGTCAAGGACTCTGTCCTGGTGTCAGTTCATCTTATTTTCTCTGCAGCAGGCAGAGTCCTCCCCTTAGGTCTCTACCTGACAGTGTGATCTGAAGGTCCTGTGTAACCAGAGCATCCTTCTGTAAGGGCCACACACCCACCTCATCTGTGTTGTGACCTGCCCCAGCTGCTAACTGCAATCCAATGCATCTTCCCAGGTTTTACCAGTGACACAGACCGTGTTGATATGAAGATGGCTGTCATCACAGAGCACCTTGGCCTCAGCTGGGCAGGTGAGTGACGGAATTTGGACAAAAAAAGCCTCAGATCTACCTAACCCCATGACCCTTCCCCCTGGGTGACCCAGGGTGAAGTGTGTCCAGCCTTCATCATCCATTGGGACTGGGTGTGTGATGGCCCATTTTATAAGCAACACCACTGGGCACCAGTAGAGAGCAGTGAATTTCCTGTCCCCTCCATGTTTGTCTA